CCGTGAGTCTTTCGTCTTACGAAAGCCTCGCAACCACAAACCTTGATGTGTGCCAACGAGGGAGCCTTTCCTGTCCACATCTCGTGAGGTGTTTTGGCAACCTTCTTCGTAGGGACTAAGTTAAGGATATGGGCGGCAGTCTCTAAGGCATACCCCCAGAATGAGATAGGTAGTGAAGCACGACTCATCATGGAATGAACCATGTCTAACAAGGTTCGATTACGCCTCTCAGCCACACCATTCAACTATGGTGTCCTAGGTGGCGTCAATTGCGAAATGATTCTGCATTCCTTAAGATAGCCGCGGAATTCAAGACTTAGGTACTCTCCTCCTCGATCGGATCGAAGCATCTTGATTTTCCTGTCTAATTGATTCTCCACTTCTTGTTTAAACTCTTTGAACTTTTCAAAGGTTTCCGACTTGTGCTTGATTAAGTAGATATATCCATATCTGCTATAATCGTCGGTGAAGGTTACACAGAAGCGGTTCGCATCCCTTGTGGTGGATCTAAAGGGCCCACATACATCGGTGTGTATGAGATCCAATAGACCCTCACCCCTTTCACAAGTGCCAGTGAAGGGTGACTTGGTCATCTTTCCAAGTAAACAAGACTCGCACACGTCATCGTCCCTAAGGTCGAATGACTCCAACACTCCATCCTTTTGGAGTTGGGCTATGCGTTTCTTGTTGACATGTCCAAGACGACAATGCCACAAGCATGCTTTATCCAAATCATTGGATGAATCAACACACAACACATCATTTCCTAAGTTATCTACAACCATCACAGTTTCATATATTCCATTACAAGGCAATGCTTCAAAATAAAAGACACCATTAAGATAAGAATTAATAGAACCCTTTTCATTATCAAATGAATATCTAAAACCTTGTCTATATAAACCATGAAATGAAATGATGTTTCTTGCCATATCTGGCAAATAACAACAATTATTTAAATCTAATCCTAATCCACTATTGAGCATTAAAGAGTAAACTCCGATCTTGGTGACAGGCGACGATCTTCTGTTCCCCATGATCAAATTTATCTTCCCACGCTCCACATCCCTATCTCTTCTTAGGCCTTGCAAGTCAGAACAAATGTGAAAACCACATCCTGTATCAAGTACCCAAGAAATGGAATGTGATGAATCATTAGATTTAATTGTGTAAATACCTGCGTAAGATGGCTTGATCTTCCCATCCTTGATGGCTTGCAGATATTCTGGGCAGCTTCTCTTCCAATGCCCTATCTTGTGGCAGTGGTGGCACTCTGCCTCCTTAGGGTTTGAGTTGGGTTTAGCAGAACCAACTTTGGTTCCACTAGAAGAGGTGCCATCTTGGGACTTTCCCTTGTGGTGGCTCTTTGAGGGAGCCTTCCTCTTCTTACCCTTCCCTTGACCTATTGCCAAGACAGGCGCAGCAGCGGGAGTGGGAGTCGGTGCAATAGACTTATCCTTGAGATTGCTCTCAGCAGTCCTTAGCAAGCCTTGAAGCTTTCTCAAGGTGACCTCTTCCTTATTCATGTGGTAGGTCATGCGGAACTGGTTGTACCAGGGAGGCAAGGAGTGAAGGATGATGTCAATTGCCAGCTCTTCATCGAAGTTAACATTCAACTTCAGCAGGCGATCAACATATCTCTGCATCTTTTGCAGATGAGCGGTAAGGGACTCTCCATTACCCATTTTAGCAGTGATCATCAAAGTGATGATCTCATACCTTTCTTGCCTCGCACTTTGGTGGTACCGGTCCAACAAGTCTTGATGCATTTCATAGGGATACATGTCCTCATAGGACTTTTGGAGTTCTGCAGTCATGGTCGCTAGCATGATGCAATGGAATTTCGTGGCATCACGCTCATGGGCCTCAAAGGCAGCGATCTCATCGGTAGTGGCAGTGTTGAGGTTGATCTCCTTCAGCTCCTTATCAAGGACATACTCTTTGTCCTCGTAACGGGTGACCATTCTTATGTTACGGATCCAATCATTGAAATTGTTTCCGTAAAATATCACCATCCCACACAAGTTCATGAGTGAGAATGAGTCGGAGGAATTTGAGCCGGAAGCGTTGTCGTTGTTCATGTTCGACATCTGAAAAAGGAAAAGAACAAAGTTTGATTAGAAATAAATCCCCAATTAAACACCCAAATGAGAAATTAGGGCTAGGATCCAACAACATTATTTACAAATTAGAAAAAGGATGCCGTAATCCAACAAGTAAACAATTTGAAGGTAAGTGAATGACGATTCACTAATTTTCCACCACGAAAAACGAAAAACGGATTAAGTTTTAAATGTATTGAAAACTCCTAGATTCTTTTGAGATTCATTGAACTTTTCAATGGCATGTTTAAATCTCGACATGCCCCTCTAGTTTGTGAATGTGATGCCGAGGATCACAAAGCGGGTGTGAATAACCATGCAAATATACATGGTGCCCTCATTGTTACAGTCACCTATTCGATGTGCCGGTTAACCACACACGCTCCATCGAACTATGACAAACAATGAGTCACCCTTTACCACCTTTTCTTAGAAACCAATTAGTGTGTCGGTTAACCACACACGCTCCACTAACGTCTTAGCAAGGGTACAAAGTGTAATTTCATGGAATTGCATCAATTCACTTTTCCCTAAAGTAACTAAGATTGAGAATTTTGTAAAAACATTTAGTTACTTTTTATATATATTCATTATACTTTTAATGAGGAAAGGTTTGCCCTATCCTACCCGTTCGGCTAACGACCCTCCACCAATCAAGGAAGCGGTGGGTGAGAGTGGACACCCATTAAACGACCATTTTATAGGCCATAACCTTATACCCCCCTTATAGATCGGCTTCGTGAATGAGGCCTACTAACGGTAAGACCAGCATTTTAAGTTATACATATATATATTAATCTTATAACATAATAAAGTATAAGGTTGAATTTTAAACTTTTAAAATTCTAGGGTTGAAATTTAAATAGTTCAAATTAAACATTTTAATCACAAAATTTAAATTTCAAAACTTGAGGACAAGTTTTGAATCTTTTCAAAACACAAAGATCAAATAGCAAATAATTTTCAATTAAACATCTAATTTAATAATTATCTAGATTTGACCTAGTCAATATTACTTGCAAGATAATTCAACAATTAATTTAAATAATCAAGTATTATCAAATAAGGAATTTATTATTCAAACAATTGGTAATTATCTTTTGTTTTGATGAGGATATTGACAAACAAGTAATAAAATTCGGATTTTATTAAACTAAAACGATTTAGGTAAGTATCCTCAAGCAAAACATCAAAAAATCCCGAAATTCCCTCTGTCTGACGCTCCGACTCGCTGAGTCCCCTTATGGACTCGTCGAGTTCATCCTACTCGTCGAGTCCACAATGGGACTCGCCGAGTTCATCAGGCAGAGAGCAAAAAATCGATTTGTACAAGCAAGAATCAAACACAAAGCATCAAATTCAAGAGAAGCCAATCAAGGCTCTGATACCACTGATAGGTTTGATCCATAAGAACATTCCTATGTGCACATGCAAACCCTAATGCTTGGATCTAGGTTTTTCTAATGAACATGCTTTTCATCCAAGACTTGCAAACCCTAGATCTATAGTATACAATTCGAAATTGACATAATGGAATAGATCTAGATGATTACCTCTTCTTGAAAGCTTGAATCTTGTTATCCTTGGAGCTTAGAGTCACAAATGTCACTCCTCTAATGGCTTACAAACACCAAGAAGCAAGAGAATGATTTGGAGAGAGGTCGTGGACACAAAATCGGCTCTGGGAACTCCTTAGGGTTTCTGGTAGCCGATTTCTATAGCCCTAGGGGTCTTTAAATACTTGAGCTGCTAGGGTTAAAGTCTGAAACCCTAATTGGATAACTTAGGCCTTAAGCAGTCCAAGGATCCTTCTAGAATAGGGCTTGGACGAATTCAAGGAGTCCATACACCTTAATTTCGTCCACCCTATGATCCATAAGGATCCACAACCCAAAATCAACTATCACACAATTGACAGTTCTAGTCCCTTTTATTTAATTAATCTCTTTTAGCCACATAATTAATTCTTAATTAATTCTTGTCTACTATTAATTAAACTATATGATTTCTCTTTTAATATATTAATCATATAATATATTAATAAATCATAATAACCTTTTTATTTATAAATCATCCTATCATGTTGCTTTGGTGAAGGCAACCCAAAAGGAGCATGCACAACCGGGTCAAGTACTTACCAAATATAGTTACGGGCTTAGACACTAATCCAACACTTTTAAAACCGTAAAAGTCAAGATTATACATTTAGAATGTAAAAGAAAAAACAAAAACAATAGAACATGAAATGATAAGTTGGTTGAGCTATACTAACACTAACTTTATTTTAGAAATTATAAAAAAAATTGTTTGTTGTATTTTTCAAAATGGTATAAGGTGTTTTTTTAATGCTTCAAAATCTTATCAAACTTGTGTTTTATATAACTAAATTCAAATATAAATAACAAATAATAGAATGTCAAAATTTGGCTAAAATATATTTAGGATATTTTCAACTATTGATACGAGATAATAGTCTGTTCCAACTTCCAACGAAACGAACTATAGATAACTTAAATACTTAATTATCATTTCAAACAATTCATGTTTAATATCATCGAAATCAACTAACTATAAACTACATAACAAATGATTTTATATCATGTCACACTAATTTATTTATTATTAGGGAACTTCCTTAACCACAATTAACGTTCTTCATGTTCTCTACTAATTGCTAATAGAATTACTAAAATATTATTCAAAAGAGTACGTAGAATAATCCAATACAAAAGACACTGTATCCTTTTAAGAAAAAACAGAAAGAAAGATCATTTAAAAAATTAAAAAACTTAGTCGTCTAAATTATATCCTAATAATGGTGGGGAAATAAACTATTAAATTAAGAAAATTCCTTTTACGCACTTTATATTAATGATTTTACCTTTGATAATTCAAACCAATTTGATTTGTCTTTATCATTATTCATTAGCGAGGATCCTTCAAAACTCATAAGTATTTTTCCAAAAACTCAAACACGACGGAAGCGCCTAAGTTCTTCAGTAACAATCATTGAATCCCACATTTTTGTGCTGAAGAACTTCACGAGGAGCACTCTTTTCCCACGATCACGTTTCTCATACGAACTTTTGATTCACGAAATCTTCAAGATAAGAGTTGTTAAACCCACATTTGGTTTCCTCGAAATATTTCTGGGGTTTTGTTTTTTTCCTTTCGCAAAAGCAGTTTTCAGGTACTCTTTTATGCAAAAGTCGCTTGCTTATGTGTGTGTGTATGTTTTTAGCCATATGAGTGAATGAAACAGGTGATATATACTGCAGGAAAGGTTTTTTTTTTTTTTTTTATGTTTGAAGGAATTAATTCTGTGATATAAATGTAAGCAAATTGAGGTGTTTTCTTCTGATTCTCCATACCCAAGAACTAGGGTTTCTGAATCCTTTTATAGTTTGTGGTATACATTATTTTACTCTAATCATTTTGTTTTTTATTTTTATTTTTATTTCTGATGTTTGCTATTCTGGGTGTTGGGTAAAAATTTCAATCTTGATATGTAAATTGTTTAAAATTCGTCAATTTGTCAAAGTTGGTTGCGTCTATGGAGAAACTGAAGGAGAAAATCATATATTGTGTCTTGTATGCATCTTATTTGGTTTGTTTTTGTGTGAAATTTAGTTAAAGAATTGAGTCCAAGATTACATTTAGGTTTTTCTGGGATTCTTTGTTCTTGTAAGGATCTTTAATGATCAATCTTTCTCTTGTTCATAGAAATAAGTATTTGGGTAAAAAGATAGAGAAAAATTCAAGTTATTGTATTCGGGTTCTTGATTAATCCAAGAAACAACCTTGAACTCAAGAACTTGACCTATTTGTTTTGATCATCTACTTTTTTTTTGGTAGTTCATGACTTCTTGAAGAGTAGAAAGTAAAAACCATAAACTTTTGTCTAAAATCTAATTAAATCCTCAAAACTACAAACAATTGTCTTTTTGTTGTTATTTTATTGTAAATCAAAAATCTTGTAGCTTCCAAAACGGTTTCTTGATTGTTGTTGTGGACTTGTGGCATATGAAAATATTGTTTTGCTGATGTAAGCTGTCTTTTTTTGTCATTTATTGAGTGGCTTCTTTGGTTTAACCGCAGAATGCAAGCTAATTTTGGAGTTTAATTTGCTTTGTCACTATGAAATCTGAAGAATATAAAAGAAGGGGTCATAGGTTTGTGTCATTTTCTAAAAAAAGTTGATACTTAGAAACTTTTTGATAATGTTTAACTTGTTTGTGAATGATGTAATTTTCAGAAAACCAAATGAGTGTATGAGGGCAATTGTAACAATCATAGTTGGCATTGTTTTCGGGTTCTTCATTGGAGTATCATTTCCTGCTTTTTCACCACCAAAGGTACTTCTACCTCCAAATTACTCCTTGTTTGACTTTTAATGGTCAAACGAGATATATTTGATTTAAAAGACGGTTAAGAATTATTCACTTATAAACAAAATTGTCAACTTGTATTTGAATTGAACTATGTTCTAGATTAGTCTCAGAAAGAATCGTGTAAAATACGCATTTGGAAGTTAGTAATTTCAATTACCAAAATCAAAAGTTTGACTCTTTAATGATTTAAAATTGATAGCTTAAACTCATACCTCCAATTGATACGTATCTTGGAGACAAAAATTCGGGGCGTTCTACACAAACAATCTTAAATGTGATTTCAGTTACAAGGGACAACGTGTCAACTGATGCTAGAAAAATTGATGATCCTTCATTGGTATACAACTATACATTCTTTTCATTGGCTATAATATTGATTACTTAATGTTTTTCTTTAAATTTCATAAATTATGTATGCAGATTTATGTTTCATCTAATCCCCGAGGTGCAGAAAGATTACCTCCAGCAATACTTGCTTCTGAATCAGACTTCTTTCCCCGAAGATTATATGGTAAACCAAGTGAGGTTAGATTCGTCTTTTTCATCCTTTCTTTCTCAAAAACTCATTGAATTTTTGGTAACCTCTAATGAAATCTTTATTTGCAGGATTTAACATTCAAACCAAAGTATCTTGTGACTTTCACAGTTGGTTATAATCAGAAAGATAACATTGACGGAGCGGTCAAAAAGGTCAATCTCTCTCTGTTTTTTCCTTACCTCCACCACCTCCCGCCGCCTATCTCCGCCCTAATGGTGGTTGCTTGTACAGTTCTCAGACAACTTTACAGTCCTTCTCTTCCATTATGATGGCCGGACAACCGAATGGAATGAATTCGAGTGGTCAAAACGAGCTATTCACATAAGCGTCCCAAAGCAAACAAAATGGTAACAAATATTAATTCAATACTCTGATTATTTTAGTGGTTATATAACTTATATTGCTTATATTTAGGGATATAGTTGACTTTTTTTGTTGACTTTGAAGGTGGTATGCGAAAAGATTTCTGCATCCTGACATTGTTGCTCCATACGACTTCATATTTATCTGGGATGAAGATCTTGGAGTTGAGAATTTTGATGCTGAAGAGTGAGTAGTGTTGATGGAAAAATTGTTGTCTTGATTAGTCAACGTTTGACTTTAATGGGTTGTTTGAATCTTTATGTTTTTAGATATATTAAACTTGTGAAGAAGCATAAATTGGAGATATCACAGCCTGGTTTGGATCCTAGTAGTAAGGGTTTGACATGGCAGATGACTAAGAGAAGAGAAGATCTTGAAGTTCATAAGTAAGTCAATGCTTTGACCATATATATATACTGCAATACATATTACATAAATGGAACCTTTTTGTATGAATTTGAATCTTTTTATGTTAAAAATAAAACCTTTTTGTAGAGAAACTGAGGAAAAACCGGGCTGGTGTAGTGATCCACATTTGCCTCCATGTGCAGCGTATGTACAAACTCTTTTGTAACAAGGGCAAATTAGTAATTTTACCTTGAAAATTTCTGACCTTACTAGTTGTGGATACAGGTTTGTAGAAATCATGGCTCCTGTATTTTCTCGAGAAGCTTGGCGTTGTGTGTGGCATTTAATTCAGGTATATTATGTCATAAACTATCATTAAAAACTTTCTTGTTAACTTCAGTAATTTCCATTATCAATATAAAATAATTATTATTTTGTTTATGAATGTAGAACGATTTGGTTCATGGATGGGGTCTTGACTTTGCCCTTAGAAAATGTATTGAGGTAATACATGTTCAACTGCCATTGATTACATCATATCATTGCATGTCTTTCAAGAAACCTTAACACATTATTCATAAACATATGCCCTTTTTTGTCTAATGACAATAGCCTGCATACGAAAGGATTGGAGTTGTAGATGCACAATGGATTACTCATCAAGGCGTGCCTTCACTTGGAAATCAGGTAAGAAGCAAATTTCCGAAATTGCCCTTGTTAGCTTGTGAGAGGACTTAATGAAAATGTGACTTAATCTGGTAAACTTTATATAAGAGTGTTTCATGTTGAACAACTTAATAGAGAAAGATAAGGAAGTGAGGTTCCATTTAATGTTAATTTTACCCTTCTGTTCTAAATTAAAGCTTCTCAAATTCAAATGACAATTTTACCCTTCTCTTCTTCTGGTTGTAGGGAAAAGAAGAGAACGGAAAAGCGCCCTGGGAAGGGGTATGCAACGAATCTTGCTCTATCACATATGCATGTTGACAAGTGTCAATGTTTTTGAAACATGTTTGACTTTTTGGTGTTGACTTTTTTTTGGTGGTAGGTGAGAGAGAGGTGTAAGAATGAGTGGAAGATGTTTCAAGATCGTGTAGCCAAGGCAGAAAGAGACTATTACAAGTCGGTTGGTATTGGATCCACGGATCATGATGCAAATTGGGTGACACCCGATAGAATTCAGTAGTGTTTTAGTGATCATTGATATGCTTACTTATTATAGATCACATAGTATATGATGATTTAGAGGTGAATCTTTACTATATACAAATTTATGGGTATTAATGGAAAGATGTTTTTCTTAGAGGGTAGAAAGGTAATTACGTAACTCGTTCTTGAAAGGTTTTAATGAGTTTGCAACGGTTTATGTTGGTAAGAAGGGTGAGTTTCTAACTTGATTCCTTTAGCCATTTTGGAGGGTATAAAATCAGCCTAATATCGATACAAGAGCATGATTATAAACAGTTTTAAACAGGTACTCATTTATTAGGAATCTATAAATTTTGTTCAGAGTAAATTACATGATTTGTCCCTTGTCCAAGTGTCAAATTGCACGTATAGTCTTTATTTTTTAATTAACTAAGATCGTCTCTATAATGTTTTTTTTCTCACTCGGCTAGTTCTTGACGAACATAAAATGACTATTTTACCATTTTTGTTTATTTTTTATATATTTTTTGATTTGTTATTAACAATTTAAAACAAAAATAAAAAAGTAAATATAAACAAAAAATAAGCCTACCACCACAAAGGCACAAACATTTATCCTCTATCCTAACCCACCAACACCCTTCACAATTTATCTCTTTGATTCATCTGCTACCACCGGACCATCACGTAACTTTGCCTGACCACTGCGCCCACCGCGCACCACTGTTGACCACCACCTTTTTTTCTCTTAGAAACATTGTCGATGACCATTCTTCCCTTGTTCTTCTTCCCGGCTGTCCTTAAACCACCACCACCTTCCCAGCTCATGTGATACAGAGCAAGAGAGATGAAGATGAAGCCGTCATCGCCACCTGTTCACAAATCTACACTCCAAGTGGTGGTTTTCATGGTGGTTTCGCATTCTCCACCCAATATATTCGATGGTAACCCAATAGATCCAGTGGTAACTCGTGGCGATGAGATTTTTTTTTTGCAGGCGGAGATAAAGGCGTAGAGGTAGTGAAGGGTGGTTGTGGCTTAGTGAAGACATGGGCCGGAGTGGAGGCAGAGATCAAAACTCCAACCAACTGAGATGATGGCGTAAATATGATGAAACCCTAGCCGATAGAGGCTTGGAAGTGACGATTACTTGTATATCTGAGATGGCATTTTAGCGATGATGTAGATCAGAGGCGACGTTCAGTGGTGATAGAGGGAAGGAGCCCGGAGGCGGTGTCGCCGACGTTCAGTGGTGACAGAGGTGAAGCATGCCGGAGAGGAAGGATGACGAAGACATTGGTTAGCTAGAGTTTTGGGTTGTTTGTCAGGTGTGGGTGAGAAAGAGGAAGACGGCACCACACAATGTCTTTAGTAGGTGCCAAGCAACGACGATGTAGGGGGTGTTTGACAAAACTTAAAAAAGTAGCTTTTTGACTTATTACCGGTTTGATACCGGTATACGTCAAAAAAAGTAATTGGGTAAAAAACAACTTATAGCTGTTGGTAACCTCTAATAAGTCAAAAAGTGATAAGTAACATACCTCTTACTTATAAAAAACTCATTATTTCACCAAATAAGTTATAAGTCAAAAAGTCATAAATTTTTTCAAATAAGTTTTGCTAAACACCCTCGTAGTGGTGGTGGAGCACCAGCAACGATCACAGCGGAGATGATGAAGAGGAACATGAAAGTGAGAATATGCAGGGTGGTTCTTCAAAAGAAAAGAGGAAGAAGAGGAATATATACGGGTGGGGCCTAATTATTTAATGATTTTTAAAAAAAAAAATTAAAATTGATAATAATAACAATCTAAAAATAAATCAAAAGTAAAGGAATAAGGGTAAAATAGATATTTTATGTATGGTAAATGATTTAAGGGACCAAACGTGCAATTTTTAACAATACAAAGGACAGTTCGAGTTAAAATTTGAAAATAGAGACTAAACGTTCAATTTGACACTTGAGCAAAGATGCAACATGCAATTTACTCTTTTATTTACTAGAAGTAAAGTATTTAAAGTTTTACCGAAGTGATTTCATTTTTATATAATATTAGCTAGACCTATTGGGTTTGATCTGTGTTGGAGCTAGTGTGAGTAGAGGTGCACAAACCAGAATTGGTTTTTTTCTCTTAATGTTAAGAATTTAGAAACCTTGATATTTTTTGGCTTGATGGAACGAAAAGAAACATCAACTTCTAATTCAAGCGACAGTTGACATTATATACTAACTGTTCAAGCTTCTATGATGACTTTGTAATATGCTCTATCTCTTAAGACCTAGTTTTCGAGTTTTAACAAAGAAAAGTAAAGAAAGGAAAAGCAAGTAAAGAGATAAAAAGAAGAAAAATGAAAGAAAAAAAAATTATATTTTGTGTTCTTGAGTTGGAGAGAAGTGAAAGAAAAATTAAACGTTTTGTTTCTTTCTCTCCAAATCCAAATCCTTCCACGTCGGAATGAAAGTTAGGAGAAGGTTTTTTTTTTTTTTTTTTAATGAAACTCAGGTACAAAAGTTTCTTGAAACTCAGGTACAAAAGTTTCTTTTACTTTCTTATTTCCGTTTATTTTATTTCTTTCTCCCTACTAATTTGAACTCGGGAACATGTTGTTAGGATGGAGTGAGTAGAATCCTCCTAACCAACTGTCACATCAACTTTTATTTCTCTTTTTTTTTTCATCTTTTCAACTCACAACACATGAAAATAATATATTTTCCAACTCACTCAATCCTAATGCCACATCACTATGTTTAATTTAATTAAATTAAAAAAATGCAAAATGTAATAAAACATAACATTTTTGTAATTACAAAAAAAGCTATTTCAAATAAAAAATACACGATAATTAGAAAAAAGAAAAAAAAAATCAGTAATAAAAACAAGCTAGTAAAAACCGATCAACAGGACCTCGACGATCGAATGAGGTTAAGAAAATAAGTATTTGAAAATATAAAATTTTGAAAAATTGGAAAATATGAAATATAATGTCTAATATTTGAAAGTTCGAATATTTGAAAATTTAAAATTTTGAAATTTTGTAAATTTTGATGTAATATTTAAAAATTTGGAAAGTTGATTTTTTTAAAATTTTTCGCGCCTAGAAGCGCCAAGGACTGCCAATGAGTGTCAATGACCGCCAAACTCGAGTTTGACAAATATTGACCAATTTCCGCCAAGCACGTCTAATCGTAACCGGTTGTAGATCGTCAAACGATTAATCCCCGATTGATCGGCCACCAAGGCCGATTTTTGCAACACGGATAAAAACTAGACAACAATAATAAAAACTACACAATAATAAAAAAAATACATGATAATTTTAAAACTCTCAACCATATTTTGCTGCAATTTGTCATTTCCGTTCAAGTACCGCTCATAGAACCCTTTCGTCATGATCATGCAGGTTGAGAAAAAATTGCATATCTCTCTCCTGTATCTCCAACTCTAACAGTTGAACTTTCCATTGTTCATTTTCTTATACAAGATAACTTTTCATCCCGATATCGTTTTCTCTCTTCCATATCTGCTCTATTTACAGTGTGGTTGAAGATAATTTCGTTGACGAGATCAACGATTTTCAATTATCGTTGATGATGTCGACGCCACTTTCTTTCATTTCGTTGTCTCCAAGGCGGTGAGTTTATTTCTTAAAACATTCGTTGTTGTTGGTTGAATCTAGGTGGAAGTTATGCATCATAAGATGTTGTGTAGGTAACTTGCAGACAAATCCATATTTGAATTAATTAAATAATAGATTTAATTCCAATTCAAATCCTTTCCTTGTCAACATCCACAAGGTTTCTGGAAACCCTAGAAGAGCTCCCAAAACCATCCACCCTTGGATGGTTCTAGAATTGTCTCTTTTGTTCAACTATTGAACAATTACAATTCACTCCAAGCACATTTAATTAATTTCAATTAATCCATAATTAATTCCAGATTAATTCTGATTAATAAATAGCTAATTCTAATTGATTTCTCATTAATTTATTAATCATATAAGTTAACAATCAATTATTTTAACAATTGATCTCATATTAATTTATTAATCACATAATAAATTAACAAATCAACTATCTATTTCCAATTAATATATTAATCATATAATATATTAACAAATCATTTCCTCATAAATTCCACTTGGTTTATTAATTATATAATAATCTAATAAATCATCATCTCTCTACATATGTCATTCTAATCAAGTTCTAGTTATGAGGGCAACCCAAAAAGGACTTTGCTTCTAAATTAAAAGAATATACCAATTTAGTTATGAACTTAGACACCTTAATCCAACATGCCACTCCTTGATTCTTGGTTAGTTTCTTCGGGACTAGAATCATCATCTTCCAAGTTTTGAGGATCACAAAACTGGGATACCTCGGGAGGAAAACTTTTGAATTGAGTTTCAGGAACCCTTTGAGAATACTGCATGTATTGATTATAACTCGTATTATCATGTGAAAGACTGGATGAGTTGTAGGATTGTTGCACGAGATAATATTGTTGTTGATAGTTTTTGTTTTGTTGGTAGCTTGAGTATTATTGATAGTTTGAGTTTTGAGATTCCGGAGAAGAAAATGTAATATTTGACTAGAACCGCCTTGTTTGGATTTGCATTTTTGGCTATAACTGACTTGCTTTGATTTGACTTGGGAATCCATTGAGCGGAATTGAAAAGGTGTGGAATGGAATTAGATAGGGAATGTAATTGGACAGGGGAATTGAGAGAAATGAAAAGAAATTGAGTTAGAGGAAAATGAATTGGATAAGGGAATGGTTGGATTTATTTAGGTAAAAAGTTTAGATTTTTTTATTTAACCCTCTTTGACCTAGTCAATGGTCAAATAGGACCCATGCATGCAAAAAGCTTCGCCTTCCTTGAGATTCTTCACGGGTTGTATAACCCGCCAACGACCAAAGCAACGATCCCTCATGCAACTCGGAACGGTGGCCTTGGCAGTACTGCCGACCCAATTCGTCGAACGCACTGCCACTCCGTTCAACCTTAGTGGCAGTGTAATATAAATGAAGGTTAAAATTCATCGCCAAATTAATAAATGTATGTATTTGTTGATAATATGTTGATAACCGGAATTCACCTAGAAAATTTTTAATAAAATAATGTTACAAAATATTTCATTTTGTTATTTGGTATGTTAATTTGAAGAATGGTAGATTGGTAGTCGCTTAAAAATCTGAGAGTCCATAAAATATTAAAGACATTTGTAAAATTTATATAATTATCTTCACATTTTTACAAGATATCGAGGAAAATGAACCATTGTGATTAATTAAACATGCAACGATTTGCATGGTAAATATATTAGTGGAGGGGTTGTAAATGTAACCATATAAAGGAGATGAAATATAACCCCAATCTTTCGTTACATTTTTTTTAAACCATGAAAGTGACATGAAATATTGTCTTATTATTTTATAAAATTTGGTCTTAACGAACATATTTGGACATGTCGTCCACAAAAGGTTACAAAACAATAAACGTAAACTACAGGGAACATGAAAAGTTATTGCATACATTAACAATCCAAAAATTATTACTAAAAGCTTTCTATATCTAAAACCATTAGTAAGGTCTTGTCCCAAGTCAAAAGTCTATTTAAGTAATCTGTCGACAGAGGTTCATGTGGTGCAACAGGGCCCTTTTAATGTGCTATAGGTTGTAGAGGGCCCAACTATGTTACCATGATATCCAAATACAGGAACTAATTAGTTTACTTTATATTGTTCATTTGCTCAGTTTATTTTCATCTAAATAACGTACGAGCCCAAGATTTATTGTAATATTTTGTTCACTTAGATTTTATTATACGATTGAATAAACTTTATCGGTAAATTATGTGAGTTATGGTTTAAGGTTATTTTTAAACACTTAATAAAAGATTTTGTAAATAATCAATTAACAAAAACATAATTTAATTATACTTATCATTATTTATAATTTGTTTTACGAGTTATTTATAGAACACATAAATACTTAGGAAGAATGACAGTTTTTTGTTTTTAATATATGTACATTCAAAATCTATTACAAATCAAATAAGATTTTACAAAAAATGGATGTACTTTCCATTGTAAATCGTATCAAACACATAAAAGATTTAAAACACTTCCATCTAAAATTCTCTTTTATAAACCCTGCATAAACAATCAAAAGATATTCAATAATTGCATATAAAGAAAAGATACACCATGCGTTTATGACTAAGAAGTTAATATTATTAAAACATACAACTAACTATACAATGAAAGATAATCACTCAAACATAGCCTTTCAGCTATCAGCTATCAGCTAGCTTTTTATTTAACAACTAACTTTTCAGCTAGTACGCCAAACATAGCCTAAGTAGCTTTTCAAAAAGATAGCTTATAAGCTAATTTTTGGCTTACCAAACACAACAACATAAAAAAACTTGAAAAATAAGATAGCTTAGCTGTAGTGCGCCAAACACAACCTAAGAAGTTAATATTATTAAAACATAAAACTAACTATACAATGAAAGATAGTCACTCAAGAGCACTCGTTTTTACTCACAACGTACAACAATCCCAGCATTTGTCTGCAAACTAAAATGAAATCAAGTTCAAGAACATTATAAAAAAAATATTCACGCGTGAATATTTTCAAAGAACAAAATTTTAAAAAATTGCTATATACAAATAATAGCAATGTACGTTTCATTTTTCCTTATTATAGGATTATACTTCCACATCTGTCAAATAAATAGGGTATTTTAGACATTTGGGTTGCTTTAGTTTTCTACTTCCAGATTCCAAGTTTTTATAGAAGCAACCGTTAAAGCTAAAAAAATTTAAAGCATTCTTATAAAAAATATGTTCATCTATGTAATTAAAGCAGCCTTCTGGGAATTTGAAGATCCAGCAGATGATTTTTGTACCTCTTGTGGTTAACACGAGAGCACTCGAATACTTAATTAACCCGAACACCAACAATTTCAAAAGGTGAACTATATATATACAAATCTAAAAAGACGAAACTGAAAATAAATTATTTATTTGATCCATACACAAAAAATACATTATTTTACCAAAGATTGCACAACTTATACATTATCAAACATAATAAAATTGGTTCCTTTAAGACCTAGTCATAGTTAACCTCGTGTAATAGTAATGGCTTTGCTAAATTCAAACTTTCTGTGCATTGATTTAATAAAATCTGCAGCTTCCGCATTCACATTAGTGTCTACGTCCTCCTCATTTTGCATGCATCCATAATTCTGCTTGCGATCATAATGGTTTGTGACTCTAGCATTTGGTTGAGGTTGGGGTGAGAGTCTCTGGAAGCCATCACCCATAAAGTAGATGTTAGAATATGGAGGCGTGTCTAGCAACTTGTGTGGTGTTTCTTTATGGTTGGATTCATGATGGTGGTGGTGATGATCGGTTGCACTGTGAGTCTTCGACATCATTGGTGTTTTAGCTACAAATGTTTTGTTGATGGTTTAGATTAATTTTAGTTAACGTCAAAACAAATATTTATATATGAATTTGCACATGTTTGTTTGGTAAGAAGGGAATAAAAAGTCATGGATGAGATTCTCATTTCCTTTTGCTTTATTTGGATTTTGGATATAGGTTGGGATATATATTATAACACTTATATTAATTTGTTCATGATGCTTTTGTTGAATACGCAATTGATTTCCTTGACCATATCAGGTTTCGAGACTGCGAACCTTGAATCATTATAAAGCATCGATGCTTTCATTTTCTTTGATTAGTCATGGAGCATATTAAGTCTATACATGAACTCTATAAAAGCGATAAGCCGATAATCATTACGTATCTTTGACTTTTGTTTTCTCGAAGTAATGTATCCAAATTATATGACAAACATTTAATTTTTAATCAAGTATAGTATACGTGAGTTATAATGCATATTCGATTCCTACGTGTTAATCCTGGCGCTTATATTCCATTTGAACAAAATAAAATAAAAAAAGCTTAATATTTGATTAAAGCTTATCTTTCTGTTTTTCACGTGGGGAAATAACTAACAATGTTTCTTTGAGAAAACAATCTTAGGCTAGAGGGAGTGGTAACACTCTTGGCACATTGCCACATCATATTATATTTTTGTCTGCCACATCATTTTTTTTGTCTTTTAACACTTAAATCTTAACATTTTGTAGGGAGTGGTAACACTCATAACACTCTATTTTTTTCTCTTTTTCAAATTTAATTTAATTATATATATATTTTTTAAAATACAAACAATTAATATTAAAAACTAAAAACCTTCAACAATAAGGAAATTAAAACCATGAACAGGGGTGGAAAGATCTTGGGGAAATCAAAGGCTCAATGACATTACAGATCTAAAGAATCACTTGCAAACACAACGAAATCTTTTTAATAAATTACATTATATTATAATAATTTCATATCTACACAACGAATTCTTATAATAAATTACATTATATTAATAATAATTTCAGATTTAAAAAAAAAAAAGAACGAAGAAGAAGAAAGAAAACCCTTACTTGGTTTCCAGACATGAAGATCATCAAATCACCCATAAATATCGCATCTTCACACAATCAAACCAAAACCCACTTCCTTGATTTGAATATAACCTATATAACCCCAAAGAAGGATAAAAAAGAAGAAAACGTTGATTCAAGAAACCTTCAAATCTTCAAACTTGTTAAATCAAAAATGGGATTACCAGTCAAATGAGTTCCACCAATGAGGTTCCACTAACCCTTTCTCTCTCTCTCCTCTCTCATCTCGTTATCCCCCTGGCGAGCTTCCTTCTTAGCACCTCTAGCGACTTTGAAGGGGATGGTGTAGAACGACTTTAGCGTTCCTTTGGCGAGGGGTATAGCGTATCCACTCCTTTCAGCCTTATGGAACTTCAAATCCAGTTAACAATATTAGATACGGGGACTGATTTATATACTGAATATTATTCATCCACATAAAAGATTGTGTATTGACATTTATACCCTTAATTTTAATTTCTAAATATCGAAATATTGAAAAGAGAAAGCCACACGTTTGGCAACTACAAAAAAGACGCACACGAACCTTCCTCCTTCTGTGATGTTTTCAGCCTACTGGTAACTCATAATTTGAGGTTTGATTTTGCTTATTCAACCCACTTTAAAATAACTTGAGAGAAAGATCAACTGCAAACCAATTCAAATAAACATATAATCAAACAGTTGGTGTGCAAGGATAATAGTGGTGTATAGTTTCAATATGTATTTTTTTTTCATGCCTTCCACAAGTAACAACGAGGAATCCATACCAAAAAGTTGCAAATAACTTATAGAAATTGAAGAAGAAAATCCAAACAATACATTATACGGTAGGAAAAAAAACTGGAATAGACTCGTAAATGTGGAACTGAGGACAAAACACCAACAATAAAATCGATAATTGTAATGCTTAATTAAGAACCTGAAGATCGGTGACGGAAAGCGTGAAGCTCGATGTTCGAAGATCGAGAAATTAGGAAAATCGATGTCGATGGAGACCCGGATGATAAATTGATAATTACAAGGGTTTTTTGAATCGATTTCTGATCAACGATGGAGGTGTTGCAGAGATTGGACTATTTGGAGAAGATGATGTTGATGGTTTAGAAGTGGAGAAAATTCACGAAATAACAAAAAATTGAGGGATGTTTTAATCATTTAACCATAAAATTTGGAGTTTTGGAAAATGACCACAAGATCTACAGAGGGCTTTGCGGATCGCTTTAACGCTCCGAGGAACACAACACAGTACCGACGATCTGAGTTGGCACCATTAAATGACAAAATTTTTTCGGGGGTTTTATATTTCCGCAGAGGTGGATCTGCGGATCCTATGAACACCTCTGCGAATCGCTTAATGTTTCTGAGGAATTGGTAGTTGACTGATCCACATAGCCGTCTTTGCGGAACCATGCTACACCTCTATGGAAATCTTGATTTCTCTACGGAAATGATAGTTGTAGTCGTGTTTAAGCATTATTTGACGATTATATATTTTTCAAGTTATTATCGCTTTTTATGACTTTTAATGACCATAAACGATTTTTTTTTTCATTTTTATGAATGCTTTAATCACTAGAAGTCAGTTTTTTTGTGTCTTTGTGGAGAGTGTTTTGTAAAAATGAGTTTTATTATTCTGTGTACGGGAGGGTTGTGGCAGTCAGTTGCAAATGGAAATGAGGTTTACGTTAGAAATAATGTGAAAAACTATGGTTTAAATCTTCCTCCTAACTTTAACCATCAGATGTTATTACAAATGGTTAGAAATAAAGCTCGTGTGTTCAATAGTCATATATCTTTGTCTTTTAAACGCCTGGAGTGTGGGTATGTCATGGAGCTTGCAGATGAATCCGATGTAGTTCACCTGAGACATGTAATGTATGAAACAAAGCAGACAGTGCATTTGTATTTATCGGTGGTAGGTGAAGAAGTTGAAGAACAACCAATGGTGAACAACTAGTTTATTGGAGCAAAAAGTACTAGAGGTCGTGGAGAAAGACAATCTGGTGGAAACCGGTTCAGGGGACGAGGAAATGACGTGGGAGTGGGTTATGAAAAGAAAGCTTCAGTTGCTGATAAGTTTGTATCAGATAATGATAACTTTTTATCAGATAATGATAATAAACCAAATTTGCGCATGACAGAATTAGAACAGCAAAATTTATTTGAGTTTGAAGAAGTATATGATTTTGATGATCAATTATATGATGAAATATCAAATGAAGGCTAGTCGGAAGATTAGTACACGCAATAGAAAATTGCTTTTAATCCCTGGTATTGTATTCCTCCTATTCCTGATTGTCCAGAACCTATTCTTGAACCTGGACCATTTCACAATTTAGGTCTGAATGATAAAATATTTGTGAATCAAACCTATAACACCAAAAAAGACCAAACATCTTCTGTTAAATTCAAAGTGGTTAAATAAAAGTTTCAGATTAAGGTTCAAAAATCAAGCAAATCTCGGTACGAGGTTGTTTGTTTTCAAGAAAACTGTCATTGGCGTTTATATGCAACTGTCATTAAAGGAACTACAATGTTTGAAATTAAGACTTTTAATGAGGAGAAGACATGTTCTTCATTACTTATACACCCAAATCATAGGCAAGCAACTAGTGAAGTTGTGGGAACCATAATACATGGCATTATGGGTCAAGGTAGCTTGAGAGATTTGATAGTTTATTTTATTTCCTTCTTTTTATTAGTTTATTTTAGAATTTTTAGGTCTTTTATTGGTATTGCATTGTATATTCTTTATTTTTTTTTATCATGGATCGTGTCGGGTACTTTCTATTTTGCATGAGATATTTTGCAGGGTTTTGGAGCTCCTTGCGGTTGCGGTTTGACTGGAGGTTGACTTGGTGGGCTTTTCGATGCATTAGTAGGCTTTTTGATGCATTATTGGGCTTTACGGATCCATCAAAGGAAATTTGGGCTTAAAAAATGAAGACTTGGATGAAGTGGGCTTGTGAAGATGGGTCATGGATTCTTATTTTGGGCTTAGACTATCCATATTTAAAGCTTGAAGATGATTAGCCAAATTTGAATCATGTGAGGCATGGAGGGGACCAAGGGAATCTTGGGTAGTGGGGTGTGTAGTGGAGAAAAATGAGCCAATATCATTCCAACAGTATTTGTGAGGGTGGAGTCTCAGTTGCACAACACTTGCGAGGGTACCTGCGCAACTGCACACTTTTGGGCATTTTGGTCATTTTGCTCACCATTTAATTGGGGGGGTTAGGTCTAGCAGCTCATTCTTCGATTTTCCACCATTGGACACCATTAGAGGCGATTTTTGGAGCTTGATACTCATTCTTCTAATCTTTCTAAGTAATTGGTAGATTCTTGATGCAAAAACACTTTTTTGATTGTTATTTTGTTGCCATGAGTGACTTGTTTATCTATTTTGGTTAACTTTGGCTAAAATCCTTGGATATTTGTGGGTTTTGAAGGATTCATGCTTAATTTTCATTTATCTTATGTTTATGATTCTAGTTCATATTTCTTATGCTTGTTTAATACTTTGATCATGAGCTTGGTACTTGAATGAGCAATTTTTGGTTTATTTCTTTGGTTTAGCATTGAATCATTGAATTTACTTAGAACAAGAGCTTTATGATGGTAGAAATCATCTCTAGCTTAAGAATCATGACTCCTTTATGGATGTGTAAGCATTGACATCCTCTAGGAATTGGGGATTCCTTCATTCTTAAGGCTAATCAACTTCTTGGGTTCAATTTCTTCAATTGAATCCTTGATTTTGATTAAGAAGGTGTGTTGTGGGCTTCCCCAACCTCCATACTACCTATGAGGAATCTTGGCATATCATGCTTCATGATTGCTATAACCAATTTGGGATGAATGATAAACTTCATATTAAATCCTAATGATAAACACACAAATGTTCATTGTGTTGAATTGCCCCGATTAACCAATTATCTCCAATATTTGAGCATCTCACCATCTTGCTTAATTGAAAGCTTTTTAGTTATTCATGTCTTTAGTTTTCAAGCAATCACAACACCCCCCCTTTTAGTTTAATTGTAGTTAGTTAGTTTATTTACACTAGTTCTATTGGATTGCATTGGTGATTGAATACAACCATTTTCCTGAGGATCGATACCCCTTTTTACCATTATATTACGTTTTATTTGCAAACAAAGGGTGTAATTTGCTTGGTGGACTTGACATCCCACCAATTTTGGAGGCCTAAAGATATTATTAGAGATATGAATGCGTTGCTAGAAATTAATTTGAATTATTCACAAGCGTGACATGCTAGAGAATTTGCTATGGGATTGATGACGGGGACCCCCGAGAAAGTTTCTCCAAACTTCCAGTTTATTTTCACAACTTGAAGAAACATAATATTGGGACTGTGGCATACATACAAACTGATTTGGAGGATCGCTTCGAGTATTGTTTTTTCGCTATTGGCTGCGCGATAAATAAATAAATTATATTTAAAACTTTGTAAATATATAGTGTTTATAAACAAAATAAATTGTTAATATATTCATGCTTTTTACAAAATTGTTGCAAATACGTGCTTTCATAGGGTTTTGTAGAAAAGTTATTATTATGGATGGTGCCCATCTGAAGGGAAAGTCCAAAGACACGATATTGCATGCAGTAGCTATGGATGACAACAATCAGATATTTCCTATTGGGTATGGAATTTTCCCAAAAGAGACTACGGATTCTTGGACATGGTTCCTTGAAAAACTACATGAATGCATTGGTGATTTGGAAGGTCTGACATTGGTAACAGATAGGGCTGCATCGATTGACATAAGTATTCAAATGTTTTCCAAATGCTCAACATGGCTTATGTGGTTTTCATCTAATAGGAAACATAGTGCACACCTTTGGAAAAAGTAAAAAAAAAACAATAATTTTGTTTTGGAAGCTTATAAGAGCTTACAAGACCACTGAGTCTGAACAATATTGGGGGAGACTTTGTACTCTTAGACCAGATGTAGCATCGTACCTTAGTCAAATTCTCCATGATAAATGGACTAGATCGCATTGCCCTACCATGAGGTACTATTATTTGACCTCAAACAGTGCATAGTCCATGAATGTCATATCAAAACATGCAAGGAAGTTGCCTATATTACCACTTCTTGAGTTCTTCCGCGCGCTTATGCAAAAATGGTTTTACCAACGTCGGGTGGCTGTAGGTATGACTAAAATTTTGTCAAATTATACGATAAATTTCATATATAATGATATATCATTGTCTTAACAGAAAAAAGTACAACAATACTTACGAAGTGGGCCGAAACTATGGTTAAAAAAAATAAAGACTGGATAACAAGATGGTTAGTATCTGGTGTTGACAATGCAACATATCAAGTCCATGACTTCAAAAGTGGTGACATAGTTGATTTGAGGCAAAATATTTGTTCTTGCAATTATTGGCAACTAACTGGTTTGCCTTGTGATCATGTGATAATGGTTTTAACGCACTTGAAAAATGAAAACTGTGGGCATATGGCTATAGATGCTTATAAAATTGAAAACGAATCAAAGAACGTACGAGGAGGCCGTCTACCCCCTACTAGAACATGGTGAGTGGGAGGTTCCTAATGACCTTATGGTTGTTAACCCTCTAGTAATGGAAATACGTCAAGCAGGTAGACCGAAAAACACCATTTGTATCCCCTCACAAGGTAAGGAGCCGAAAATAAGAAGATGTAGTAGATGCCATAGTACAACACATAATGCAAGGACGTGCAAGGAAATTGTCACAAAGAAGCAAAATAAAAGTAGAAAACATAGTGAGGCTTCAGGAAGTGGGACAAAAGCGACAGAAGACAAAGGGACGCAAGTGACAGAAAACCAATGCAAGCAGGAGGCAGAAATCCAATGGTCGCACGAGACTAAAAACCTAGGGTCGCAAGCAACAACAAACCAAGGGATGCAAGACTCACAAAACTAATGGATGAAATACAAAGACGAAGCATACTTTCCGTGGTTCGATTTGAGTGAAGTTTGTTTTAAAATCAGTTTATTATGAAGTTTGTATAAGACAAAAAAATTTAGTATTCCAACAAACTTTTGCATTATTATTTTATCAACTCCGCAACAAAGTAGTGTTAATTCCACAGCACTGTTTCATCTACTCTATATCAAATAGTGTTAGTTCCGCAGTAGTAATATTTTATTATATTAAAATTACGGTTTCATTAGTAAAGATTTTACTATAAAATGACTTAAGAATGTGTATCATTTCATTTACTCTGTATCCTTTCTTCGATTTATTTTTCTGAAAATTACCCCTCATATTTTCACTCACAATGGGTTCCAGACCATGGAGCGCTGAGGAGAACGTACGTCTAACTCGTGCATATATTAATGTGTACGAGAGCATCAGTGTGAATGATCCAAGCTTTTGGACCCGTTTAACCTATACCTTCAACGCTGACCCTCAAACCGCCGCAAAAAACTATTATAACACCGTTGATATCACAGCAAAATGGTATGAAGTAAAAACAGAAATTTTGTTATTCAATGATCTTTAAAAAAAATTGATGACACACTGCTGAAAAAAATATGAGGAAGTGATATTGGAGGCGGCGAAAGCGGAATACAAATCTATTAGTGACGGGTCGGAATTCGAGTATGAAGCCCCTTGGAATCTTATAAAAGATCTCCCGTATTTTTAATTTGTATTGCGTTTGTAGTAGGTTATTTTTATGTACTTGGTTTTTATTAGGTTATTTAGATGTATTTGGTTATTATCAGGTTATTTATATGTACTGCTTTGTATCAGATTATTTTTATGTGTTTGGTTTTTATTATGTTATTTACGAAATAGGTTGAGTTGTTTTCTACTTTATTCCATGGAATAGAAACTACAAACACTAT